TAAATGAATTTTGACACTCAATTATCTGCAGTGCTCCATTGGAGTGGGCGGAGCTAAATATCTCGTCATAATATGCGCACTCTAACTGTCTGATTGGCCAAATCTTCTGAACTAGGGTTGGGCTGATAGAGGATGCCATCGTCCATCGCCGATGGCCAATAAACAACACTATGCTGAGCCGGCATCGCCGATTCTCCGCCCTGCCCGCATCGCAAACCCGCGAAAAATACACACTCAGGCACCGTTTACACTAATACGTCTTAGTGTTAAAATGCCATTTTAGAACGAAAATGATCCACATCTACACCAGGTTTTACCTAGGATTTCTGAACAGCCATCCATCCGCTGAAAACGCACATCACGTGACCACACACACTTAGCCACACACTGTCATGTGCTCCTCTGAGCTCCAGAGAGCAGTGCACGTGGGACAGTTTACAGTATCAAGGTTGTACCGCTGGATCGCGTCTCATTATAGTTGATAAACATGATATTCAGACATCCCCAGTTTCTCGGAAGTTGTGGGAGTCTCTATGCATTTGCGGTACTCATCCTAGGGATGTCTTTTGTAAATGGAGCAGATCATTGTGGCTTTACTTATACAAGGCATGGGATGATAACGGCGGTTTGGAAAAGTCATGGTTTTAGGGTGCTTTCACGTTTGTGGTTTCGGTTCATTTGGCCTGGACAATGGCATTTTAGAACGAAAATGATCCACATCTACACCGGGTTTTACCTAGGATTTCTGAACAGCCATCCATCCGCTGAAAACGCACATCACGTGACCACACACACTTAGCCACACACTGTCATGCGCTCCTCTGAGCTACAGAGAGCAGTGCACGTGGGACAGTTTACAGTATCAAGGTTGTACCGCTGGATCGCGTCTCATTATAGTTGATAAGTGTGATATTCAGACATCCCCAGTTTCTGGGAAGTTGTGGGAGTCTCTATGCATTTGCGGGACTCATAATGGCCACAAACGAGTGTTAATCTCTCGCAAATCGCGCATCTCCCTCCCGGTCCTCAAATAAGTCACGCACCCTTCTCACCCCCGGATCCCTCCTAGCTCTTCAGACACGTTGCATGCACTCTTATCACCACCACCCCCCCCCCCCATCCCTACCCATCGCAATGTTTCACATTAGACATCGTACGATGCCAAATTGGTCGACATCGCCCAACCCTATTCTGAACAGCGTCATGGTTAATGTAGATTTTCTGCACAATTTCAGCTTTTAAATATGTATTTTTTAAATATAAGTTGAAATGATGTTAACAGATGGGTTCAGAAGAAGCATGTGCAATTGATTAACAACCTCATAGCTCACAGCAGATATATTTCTTTAAAGATCATTAGTGATTTTAAAAAAATCTGCATGTTCTCTATGCATCATTACTCTCTGATTTTCGTTTTTGCTGCTTTGACACCCTCTTTGGAGTACAGTATGAGTTGTATGTGTGTGTGTGTGAGTGTTTGTGAATAAAGACAGCCGCCTGGTTTTGATTTATTCTGCATGAATACAATCATGATCACTCAATAGATTTTTTATTGTTAATAGATCCCTCGTGCTCTGTTTCCGCAAACCTCACGTGCTTTACCAGCCAGCTGTCTTTCACCCTCTTCGTTTTTGACAAAGGTTTCCATGGCGACAGGAGTCAGTGGGGTCAGCACCTTTTTAAGGAGCAGCTGGGAAGGGGGAGGGGCTATAGGAGGTGTATGCCTTGAATTTGATGGGAGTCTAAATTAACCTGTGTGTGGGTGTCTGAGGGATGTCTTTTGTAAATGGAGCAGATCATTGTGGCTTTATTTATACAAGGCATGGGATGATAACGGCGGTTTGGAAAAGTCATGGTTTTAGGGTGCTTTCACGTTTGTGGTTTCGGTTCATTTGGCCTGGACCAAGGGCAACAAATGATATATGTAGCATTCTTCTGCCATTTTGGAGCCCTTTTCACACCACACTAGCTATGTTTCCATCCAATAAAGATGCACGAATAAAGCTGTGTTTTCATCCAACGAGTCAAAGAGAACAAAATCGTCTCTTCCTGATTATCTGGCGCCAAATATCAACAGTAAAACCAGAGTTTGCTGCCATAGGAGAAGGTGCGTTAATCTTTTCTTCATCTAACAAATGACTTGCGCCTCAGAAGGCAATCCTGACACGCAGTGAGTGAACGCGCGGTGGCGTTTGAAGGTGTCAGACGCAGAGCACAGACGCTCTTGATTTTGGAGGTTATTGGATAACAGGAATTCTTTTTTTGATTATTTTTGTCTCTTTTTCTTTTAATCAAACAATTATTTGTATTGGTCATGTAAGGGTCATATATTAACTGAACTTATAATGTTGTGTGTGAGTGCTGTGCATACTAATTAGCATTTTTGCAGAAGTAGATAGATGTGGGTCTAAAATAAAATTCAGCTCTGGAGAAACTTCCTGTCTGAATAGAGGTGTTAAAACTGAACACAGAAAGATGTATACTTTGTTGTTGGGCAGAGAATTGGTAGAAAAAGAGGAAGTATGTCGAAGGTGTGGCCAATGGAGGACTGAACAATGACTGACAAGTGACGTTACACCAAAACTCCACCTGTTAAGATCAGTTGTGTATATATGCTGAAGTCAGGAAATGTATGTTAGTTGCGAACCTCTTGAATGTAATTCTTGTATTGCATTGGGGTAACGTAACCCAGAGCTCTGTCATTGAATTATTCATTTGTATCCAATAAATTGTTACGATTTTGGACATTGAAGAAAAACCTCTCCTGACCTTTTCTCTTGAACACGCATGGAATTGGCTAGATATTCCAACAAGGTCATTAATAATATAATAACACTAATAGTTAAACGGTAAGGCATTTTAGAATGATCAAAACAACATTTCAGTCGGCGCCAGAGGTGTAGTGGTTAGTGCGTCAACACATGCACTCCGGTGCTCGCGGCGACCCGGGTTCAATTCTGCCTCGCAGTCCTATGCCGATCCTTCCCCTCTCTCTGCTCCCCATCCTTTCCTGTCAATTCTCTCTACTGTCCTATCAAAAATAAAGGTGAAACCCCCCCCCCCCCCCCAAAAAAAATAAATAAAAAACAACATTTTAGATGATTTACAGTGTGCTCAGCCTGCTGGTTTGTCCATTTACACACATTTTCATCATCACATGATCTCTTATAGCAAAATCACATGACCTTTTGAATGCACATACTGGAGTTTGTGCGGTAAAAGTGTTTCCATTGTAGTTTATGCGCATCGAATAAATAAATAATTCTTATCGAATAAAAAGTTTATCCTACTCAGTTATGCGCATATATTTTTTATGCAAATTTTCAAAATTTATGCGCATCATGTCATTTCCATCAGCCGTTTTTTTATGCGCATATGTAAAATAGGTGTATTAAAACATAGCTATTGATTGCTTTGGTTCAAAACAGGAATAAAAATGCAGACATGTGACAAAATCCACATCACCCATTGGCCAGATATTTTTGAATGTGTTTCCTAAACTGCTTTTGGATTGGTCAGAATAAACGTGTGGGAAAATGCCAATGAAACTCTCGCAAGTAAACAAACCGGCAAACACAAAATGTCGCTGTTTACTATGGAGGGACGACTGCGCTGGCTGATTGTATCTCTGGTCATAGTATACTATATAGTTTGTATACATCACTTTAGACAAACTATACATTTTGAGGATGAAGTGAGGCTGCGGCTGAAAAACAAAGTTTTAATGCATTGCAAACGGTAAAGGCGCATCGCAAGTCAATTCAGGAAAAGGTGTGAATTAATTTAGCTTTAAACTAAATTCTGGAAGCATTGCCAGTGATCCATCAGGTAGTGTTTTCCCCTCTCTCTCTGTTTAAAACAGTTGGTAAAGCGCTTTCAACAAATATTTTTCTCCACATCCCATGAGACGGGACAGCGCATCAGACTATGGCAGTTGGATTAGTCCAAAAAGGCGCAGTACTTTTTGCAGTTGGGTCTGTTTCAGTTCAGATCATGTTCTCACTACAAACAAACCGCTCCAGAGTTTGTTTGAAAGCACACTGAAGCCACCTCTTTAAGGAGGTCCTGGTATGCTTTTTTGGTCCACTTCTGGTGCGCACTTGAGTTCCATTGCTACATACACACCTGCCTAAACGAACCGCACCAAGAGGAAAAACGAACTCTAGTGCAATTTAACTGAACTAAATAAGGCAGGTGTGAAAACATCCTGTGGTATATGTAGTTTCTTTTCTTTTTTACAACAATGTTATGTCGTTTTTAGGGCAACAGTATTTCCAACAGAGAAGGATCCTCCAAATCAAAAGCTACTGGTCAGCCCAGAATTTAGGAATCATTCATTCATTCATTTTCCTTCAGCTTAGTCCCTTTATTCATCAGGGGTGGCCACAGCGGAATGAACCACCAACTTATACAGCATCTGTTTTACACAGTGGATGCCCTTCCAGCTGCAACCCAATACTGGGAAACACCCATACACTCTCACATGCATACTCATACACTCCAGCCAATTTAGTTTATTTAGTTCACCATGTCTTTGGAGCACCCGGAGGAAACCCATAGCAACACTAGGAGAACATGCAAACTCCACACAGGAATGCCAACTGGCCCAGCCGGGACTCAATTTAGCGACCTTCTTGCTGTGAGGCGAACGTGCTAACTACTGAAATACTGTGTCGTCTTAAAATTTAAGAAGGGTTAAAAAATTTTGTAAGTTGTTATCATGAATTCTTTTGTCCATAACGATCATCTGGGGAATTATCTGATATCATGAGGGCCTTAATTCGCATTTGCTTCAGTCCGGTATTTTCATGTGTTCCTGCTTTATAGACAAGCAAGATCATCAAATCGGTTTGATTTAATAAGCCAAATAAGATTAAAGAGGATTTTGTGGTCTGTGACAAGACCACATTTCTTTCTTCTATATTAAGGTTGAACATCATATTTATTCTTTACTCTGGTGAAAAATTGAGCAGACTTGTCATTTCATTATGTCTCTACAGGGTGGTGAAAGAAGAGATTTCTGATGACAACGCCAAACTACCGTGTTTCAATGGACGGGTCGTGTCATGGGTGAGTTAGCATGTAAACAAACATACAGTTAAATTCAGAATTAATAGCCCTGCTGAATTATTAGCCCCCTGTATATTTTTTCCCAATTTCTGTTTAACCAGTTAAACTCTGCGGACCCGGTACCAGGTCCGTGACGTCATCGACTTTTGCTTTTAAATTTTAAATGGCTAGCATTGCCTCCCCTTAAGTGGTTTCGTTTGAAAGTGTAGAAACTATATTTTATGCACATATACATCACTTTGGTTTTTATTCTACTGTACAAAAGTTATTTACATTTAAATACACAGTATTTTGGATACCCGAGCTGGGTATTGAACAATGGTTCATTTTCATATTTTTCATATGACACATGTACAAGTTATAGCTCTAATGAAAGCTGTTGCTGGTGCTCATACGGCTCTAGCATTCTTTTTACTTAATTTATATTCACATATCAAACAGTTGTCAAATGAATCGCGGTGTTTCCATGGCGCAGAAGTGAAAACAATACATTTATGATCAATAAGCAGCCCCAGATAGCACAGAGAGCTGTCTACTCTTACCTTATGCTGTGCCCTTCAGGGCCATTCTCCTCTGTTTTTGAGGTGATGTGCATAAGTAATCCTTTTATATGTCTGATGTGGTCCAAACACAGTGAATTATGTTTGATCAAACTAAAGAATATTAAAATATGAAAACAATGATCGGTCCCTGTGGCTTGTATAGCACCTCTCATCAGTTGGAATACAATAACTTTTGCATAGATTATGGTGAAGACATTTTTCTGTTTTCCTATGATTACAGACATGTGCAGGAACCACCAACATTAATTACAGCACACTAGACCACACACAACCTAAAAGTGCACTTTCAAATTGAGTTTATAATAAAAAAAATACAAAAAGCGCCTCTTTTTTTGAGGTGTTTATTATAACTCGGACAACATATACAGTTATTTTAAACACTTTCAATAGGGATTTATGAAAATTCAAAGTGTTTTCTTTAAAATAATACAATTTTTTTTTAAACAATTTTTGCATTTACACCTCTGCATGTGGATTTGGGAAGCTTTTAAATTTGGGTTGGCAAAGTCCAGGTGGAAATCCCAAAATAACAGCAGAGTTTAACTGGTTAACAGAGAGAAAAAATGTTTAACACATTTCTAATAAATCATTTCTAATAACTGATTTATTTTATCTTTGCCATGATGACAGTGAATAATATTTGACTAGATATTTTTAAGACACTACTATACAGCTTAAAGTGACATTTAAAGGCTTAACTAGGTTAATTAGGTTAAAGTTAGGGTAATAAGGCAAGTCATTGTATGACAGTGGTTTGTTCTGTAGACAATCAAAAACAGATATAGCTTAAAGGGGGTGATAATATTGACCTTAAAATGATTTAAAAAATTCAAAACTGCTTTAATTCCAGTCGAAATAAAACAAATAATACTTTCTCCATAAGAAAAAATATTATAGGAAATACTGTGAAAACCGTATAAACATGTTGGTATTGGTGGTTTACGAGGACTGTCCATAGACAAAATGTATTTTCTACAGTAACTGGCCTAATTACCCTAACTTTACCCTAATTAACCTGGTTAAGCCTTTAAATGTCACTTTTAGCTGAATACTAATATCTTGAAAGATATCAAATTTACCTTTGTGGTTCCATAATGAACCTTTAAAATGAACATTTTGAAAAGGTACCACCCAAGTGACAGCTCTTGAACCTTTATTTAGTCTATAGACCTTCCCTCGCGTCATTTCTCCAGCTTGTGTTTAATTAACCTCAGAATATAACCGGCCCTTCATCTCAATGTTGGCGGTAAAGGTTTAATTCGATGGCCCAGGTGTGAGAGGAGTGTTGGTCTCTCAACGCGGGGGCTCAGAGATCAGTCATTCAGGCGTGAGTGTGTGTGTTTGGAAGCGTTAAATTGACCGCGAGTGTTTAGTGGTTAGCAAACATCTGCTCCTCCTCTGTCTGTCCCAGAGACACAGGAGAGAATATTAAGAGAGCAAATTCCTAATAGCATTTTCACGCCTTTGAAGGCCGCTAAAGGGTAGGAGAAGCAGTGTTTCCCACAGACTTGCACTTTATGTGCGGCATTTCATATACAGTTGAAGTCAGATTTATTAGCCCACCCTGTATATTTTTCCCCAATTTCTCTTTAACGGAGAAAAGTTATTTTTTAACACAATTCTAGTTTTAATAGTACTGCTTTTATTTTAGCCGAAATAAAACAAATAAGACTTTCTCCAGAAGAAAAAAAGTATTATGGGAAATACTGTGATTAATTCATTAGCTGCAATTCCACTGTCGGGCCAGTGCGAGCCAGGGCTTTCATCAGGCCGGGCTGGGCCAATCGCCTGGGAGGTTGAGTAGTGAGGCCAAAATCATGTTGCGTTTTCACTGTCGGGCTTGTAGCTCTCAGCTCTCAACCCCGCCCCCAGAACATTCCCCGAATCAAACGTCACACAACCCAGCAGGAATCAGGCAGATAAAGCGCACCATCACATCATCACGAAACCAATAAAATGAAGACAACCCAAACAAACACATAACACACTACTGTCAGCATTACATTATATGTCTACACGCACAGGCTTGTGTATTTCTATTCATTTGTTTACTCGCCGGTTGAAGCAGTGGCGCAGTAGGTAGTGCTGTCGCCTCACAGCAAGAAGGTCGCTGGTTCGAGCCTCGGCTCAGTTGGCGTTTCTGTGTGGAGTTTGCATGTTCTCCCTGCGTTCGCATGGGTTTCCCCCCGGGTGCTCCGGTTTCCCCCCACAGTCCAAAGACATGCGGTACAGTTGAATTGGGTAGGCTAAATTGTCCGTAGTGTATGAGTGTGTGTGTGAATGTGTGTGGATGTTTCCCAGAGATGAGTTGCGGCAGGAAGGGCATCCGCTACGTAAAAACGTGCTGGATAAGTTGGCGGTTCATTCTGCTGTGGCGACCCCGGATTAATAAAGGGACTAAGGCGACAAGAAAATGAATGAATAAATGAATGTTTAATTGCCGACCGACTATTGGCATCATGCATCGAGTGGTCTTACCACTAACGGAGGGACCCAGCGCAGTGAGCGCACCCATCCATAATATAAAACCACAGAAATTCTCCGGTATTAACTAGGTATTTAATGTATTTTATAATATCCTCATTGCTTTCCATAGTAGAAAAAGCAAATACTATAGAAGTCAATGGTTACAGGTTTCCAACATTTTTCAAAATATCTCCTTTGGTGTTTAACAGGTTTAAAACAAGACTATGTTTGAAGCAAGAGAATATTCTGACAGAATTTCCTTTTAAGTGAACTGTCTATCTCTTTAAGCACACGCATAAACACACACACACACACACACATCTGCCAGCTCCCCGTCTCTTAAGCCGATACTTCAGCCATCAATCATTTTCTCTCCCTTCACTTGTTCCAAACCAGTTTTGAGTTTTGAAGAAAGCTGAAAACCTGTAACCATTGATTTCCATAGTATTTGTTTTTCCTACAATGGAAGGCAATGGTTACAGGTTTTTAACATTTTTCAAAATATCTTCTGTGTTCAACAGAATATAGAAACTCATAAAGGTTTATAACCACTTGATGGAATGTAAACAGTGAGTAAATGTTCAATTTTTGAGTGAACTACCCCTTTAAATCTCCCTCATAAGGTGTGCTCTTTAGCTCTGCTTTACTCCCTGCCATCTTCAGATGCTCTTTTCCACCACACCCGCCAGGAGAGGCAGAAACCTAGAGCTAGGGAAATATGCGTGTCCTCCTACTGCCCCCGTTTCAGATTCACACCATCGACTTTCCCATGCAGAGCTGAGTCTGTGGAAGTATTTGGCTCTGTCCGTCAAAGAGCTCGCTTTAAAAGAGATACGCAAGTGTGCTGGAGAGCCATCTAGTGCTCAGAGCAATGCCGCAACACCACCAGCATTTAATTTCAGATGATTAAACCCTAAAACACATCATGCTGGTAGAATTTGATTTAATATTTGGCATCCGTCAGGTAGAATTAGATCGGTTATCAATCCATATGAGTTTGCTGAAAGTTTATATAAATAAAGTGATAAATACAGTTGAAGTCACAATTATTTGCCCCCCTTTGAATTTTTTTTCTTTTTCGAATATTTCCCAAATGATGTTTAACAGAGCCAGGAAATTTTCACAGTATGTCTGATAATATTTTTTCTTCTGGAGAAAGTCTTACTTGTTTTATTTCGGCTAGAATAAAAGCAGTTTTTAATTTTTTCAACTCCATTTTATGGACAAAATTATTAGCCCCTTTGAGCAATTTTTTTGCGATAGTCTACAGGACAAACCATCATTATACAATAACTAATTACCCTAACCTGCTTAGTTAACCTAATTAACCTAGTTAAGCCTTTAAATGTCACTTTAAGCTGTATAGAAGTGTCTTGAAAAATGTCTAGTCAAGTATTATTTACTGTCATCATGACAAAATTAAAGCTGGCTCAGTTGGCAATTCTGTATGGAGTTTGCATGTTCTCCTCGTGTTGGCGTGGGTTTCCTCCGGGTGCTCCGGTTTCCCCCACAGTCCACAGTGAATTGAATAAACTAAATTGGCCGTAGTGTATTAGTATAACTGAGTTCACATGAGTCTTTCCCAGTACTAGGTTGCAGCTGGAAGAGCATCCGCTATTTAAAACATATGCTGGATAAGTTGGCGGTTCATTCCGCTGTGGCAACCCCTGATAAATAAAGGGACTAAGCCGACGGAAATGAATGAATAAAAAAAACGTATCTTTTAGGAGGACATGTGCTGAAAATGCATATCACATGACTACATTCACACACAGCCACACACACTGTCATGAACTCGTCTCAGCTCCAGAGAGCAGTGCATATCGGACAGTTTATTAAGGATGTCCCGCTGGATCGCGTCTCACTATAGTTGTTAAACATGATATTCAGACATCCCAAGTCTCCCGGTAGTTCCGGTAGTCCCCTGCAAATGCATGGAGACTCCCGTATGCCCACAAACGAGTGATAATCTCCCGGAAATCGGGCGTCTACCTCACAGTCCTCAAATAAGTCCCCCCCCCCACCACACACACACACACGCTTTTCACATGACAACGATGCCATTGTCCATCGCGATGTTAAACATTAGACATCGTATGATGCCAAATTAGTCGACATCGCCCAACCCTAATAGACACACACACACACACGTTTTCTACTTTCACGCAAAATTATGGCATAGTATATCTTGGCGTGATTCATTCATTCATTCATTTTTCTTCAACTTAGTCCCTTATTTATCAGGAGTTACCACAGTGGAATGAACCGCCAACTATTCTGACAAATGTTTTACACAGTGGATGCCTTCCAGCATCACCCCAGTACTGGGAAAGCCTAACTGTTTACTTCTGTCAGATTGTTTTTCTAAATAACAATAAAAAACTTCCCACTGTCAATACTTGCTAAATATTGATTAACTAATGCAGGACACATGTAATATGCAATATAATATATATGTATGTGTTTATATATAATATTCATATATATATAATTATTTTCAAAATATATAAAATGCATAAATCTGTGAAAATAAAATTGGTTCAAAAATTATACTTGGCTGAATTATAGAGACTGTAAAACAAGCAACATTCGTTAGTTTTTCTTCAGCTTAGTCCCTTTATTTATCAAGGGTCACCACAGCGGAATGAACCGCAAACTTATCTACTGGGACTGGGACTAGTGAAACATCCATACACACTCATTCACACACACACACACACACACACACACACACACACACACACACACACACACACACACACACACACACACACACACACACACACACACACACACACACACACACTACGGCCAATTTAGCTTATTCAATTCACCTACAGCTCATGTGTCTGGACTGTGGGGGAAACCGGAGCACCCGGAGGAAACCCACGCCAACATCATGGCAAAGATATAGGAAATCAGTTATAAGAAATGAGTTATTAAAACTATTATGTTTAGAAATGTGTTGAGCAATTCTTCTCTCTGTTAAACAGAAGTTAAAAATAATTTAAAAAATAATTTAATAAAATAATTTAATAATTAATTAAAATAAGATAATTTAAATAATAATAATAATAAATTAAATTATTAAATTAAAATAATTTAATGATTTAAAAAAATACTTCTGAGGGGTAATAATTCTGACTTTAGCTGTACCTTACATTTCACTCCATTGTCTTCTTCATGTTAGCGTATTGTTGTTTGAAATAAAAAGAAGGAAAATACTGTCTAACGTGTAAAAAGGGAAGATGGATGCAGTGCTTTGTCCCCTTCCATGTTGGCTCTTATTGGATTATCTAAGTGAAGTCACAGGGTGGCTGAAAAACACTCCTAAAATATTCCGTCGGTAACGAGAAGATTCAATCAGACAGATTTAGGGCTGGTGTTGAGTCTCCAATGCAGCACATTGTGGGCAGCGTCGCGGGACGGATCCCAGCGGATGTGCTCTTATAAGAGGCTCTCTGTTTGTCCAGCAGGCATGTGAACGCTCTCTTTCCAACAGACTCTTAATGATCATCACTAATGGGTTCATGGCATTCTGATTCATTTATTGAAACTGTAAGTGTCCTTGGAAAGGAGTTGGTTTTTCAAACATGGAGAAAAGTGACTTTGATTATGGTTTAACTCTGTCAACACAATGGAAATCTACTGCTGTGGGATTAGAATATACACACTGTTTTCAGTGTACAGTGGGGGATATAAGTATTGAACACGTCATGTGTTTACCTGGGAATAATGTTTCTAAAGGAGCTGTCAATATGGAATTGAGCCAGATTTTGGTAAAATAATAATAATAATAATACAAATATACAAATAAAACAAAGCAAAAAAACAAATCTGAGAAATGAGTTCTGTCTAATGACAATCAAATGACACAGAGAAAGAGCTGAACTATTGAAATGTATTTAATACTTTACGTAAATGGCTTTTAGGCTACGCAGTGGGCAAAAAGGTCGCTGGTTTGAGCCTCGGGTGGCTCAGTTGGCATTTCTGTGTGGAGTTTGCATGTTCTTCCTGCGCTCGCGTGGGTTTCCTCCGGGTGCTCCGGTTTCCCCCACTGTCCAAAGACATGCGGTACAGGTGAATTGGGTTGGCTAAATTGTCTGTAGTGCATGAGTGTAAATGAGTGTGTGTGGATGTTTTCCAGAGATGGGTTGCAGCTGGAAGGGTATCCGCTGCATAAAAATGTGATGCATAAGTTGGCGGTTCATTCCACTGTGGCGACCCCGGATTAATAAAGGGACTATGCCGACAAGAAAATGAATGAATGAATAAAAGGCTTTTTTTGGTGCTGGCAGCTTAAAGACGTCTAAACAGAGTGTAAAAATCTTGATGGTTCTGTAGATCTCGTCTTTCAAATCTGATCTTTATTTCGTTTTCTCTATTGGATTGGAATCAGGTGATTGGCTGGGCCATTCTACAGCTTGATTTTCTTTCTCTGAAAGCATTAGAGAGTTTGCTCGCCTGTGTTTTGGATCATTAGCTATGTTTCCATCCACCTATTTTTATGCACATTTTGAATATACGCATAAAAACCAGTTGATGGAAACGCCAAGATGTGCATACATTTTGAAATGTGCTTAATGAACATGCTCATCACTGAGTAGGATAAACTTTTTATTCAATAAGAAAAGATGTGCATAAACTACAATGAAAACACCTTTACCGAACAAATTCCAGTATGCGCATTAATAAGGTCATGTGATTTAGTTATAAGAGATCATGTGATGATAAAAATGTCTGTGAATGAACAAACTAGCAGGCTGAGCACACTGTAAACCATCTGAAATGTTGTTTTGGTCATTCTAAAACACCTTAACCATTTCAGTATTATTATATTTCAGTTATATTATTAATGACCTCCAAAATCAAAATCTGTGCTCTGCGTCTGACACCTTCAAACGCCACCGTGTGTTCACTGCGTGTCAGGATGGCTTTTGAGGTGCAATTAATTTATTAAATGAAGAAAAGATTCACGCAAAATTCCATTTTTACTGAAGATATTTGGCGCCAGATAATCAGGAAGTGACGATTTTGTTCTCTTTGACTTGTTGAATGGAAATGCTCCTTTATTCGTATGTCTTTTATGCGATAATCCAGTTTTGTACATGAAGTTCATTCGCATTTTTGGATAGAAACATAGCTTATGACTTACTGAAATGTCCACCCTGGTTTCATCTTCATCATTCTGCTAATGTAGATGTTGGACTGAAGCAGCTCATATTCATTTACACTGAGGAAGGGCAGACGGTTGCTGTAGGACTACTGAGAGATTTCAGCTGCTGTCTGGACTTTCACTGCCTTTCTACACCTCCCTTTCTTCATGTGTTCAATACTTTTTCTCTGTGTCACTGCATTTTATTACACATAACATAATTTGTTAATTAATTAGTTTGATTTCTTTGCAAATATGAGTTTCTTTAGTTATTTCAGCCACACCTTTAGAAATAATTTTTCTGAGAAAAGTAGTGCTGTGTTCAATTCTTACTTCCCCCACTGTAGTGCACTACCAGGCATTCTGAATGAAATTATGTTTGTTACCTTCAAAAAATGCTGGGTTGTCATGACCCAACACTGAGTTATGACAACAAATCATTTTTTAGAGTGTAAGGAGGAATACAATTAATTTGATTCGTTCATTTGTTAAATGACATGTAAAATGAAGTGTTATAAATGTGTTTTCTGGAAGGGTAAAAGGACATACAGTTGAAGTCGATATTATTAGTATTGTTATATTTTATAAGTTAAGTATATATTTTTTTCCAATTTCTGTTTAACAGATTTTTTTCAACACATTTATAAACATAATAGTTTTAGTAACTCATTTCTCATAACTGAATTATTTTATCTTTGCCATGATGATAGTAAATTATATTTGACTAGATATTTTTCAAGATGCTAGTATACAGCTTAAAGGGACATTTTAAGGCTTAACTAGGTTAATTAGGCAAATTAGAGGAATTGGGCAAATCATTGTATAACAGTAGTTTGATCTGTAAATAATCAAAAACAATATTGCTTAAATAAGTTTGAGCTTAAAATGATTCAAAATTAAAAACTGTTATGTTAGCATGAGACTTCTCAACCTTGTCACAGATGTTGTAAAAAGATCTTATCTTCCTGTGCTGTAGATAAGCTGATACCATTGTGTCTGTCTCTGTGTGTGTGAACAGCTGGTGTCTGCAGACGGCTCTCATGGTTCTGATGGCGGTTCTGTGTGCGCCGACACTCAGGCTGACCTGCAGCCTCCGCTGGAGAGAACTGGAGGCATCGGAGACTCCAGACCCCCTTCCTTCCAGTGGGTGAACTATACAGTGTGTGTGTGTGTGTGTGTGTGTGTGTGTGTGTGTGTGTGTGTGTGTGTGTGTGTGTGTGTGTGTGTGTATGATGCATTAAAAAATTAAATTCTGTGCCAAAATCAAATATTCTGGATACACTTGCCCGAAAATCTAAATAAAAAATGTAAAATTGTAATAATTGTTTATTATTTTATTGAATACTATAACAATATATATATTTATAAATTCTTTAAATGTAACTCAAATTACTGATTAAAAAACACAACGCAATAACAAAGCCACATTTTATTGACTAAACTTTTATTGACAAGATGAAAAGCGTCATTTTACCAGTGTTGCCATGATAGTCACTGACCAAAAATTCTGTGCATGCTTAACTCTTTCCCCGCCAACATATTAAAATCAAGCTTGAAGACAAAGGAATTGTCTGTAGACCTCTGGGACAGGATTGTCTCGAGGCACAAAGTTGGGGAAGGTTACAGAAACATTTCTGCTGCTCTGAATGTTCCAGTGAGCACAGTGGCCTCCATTATCCGTAAGTGTAAGATATTTGGAACCACCAGGACTCTTCCTAGAGCTGGCCGAACATCTAAGATGAGTGATCGGGGAAGAAGAGCCTTAGTCAGGGAGGTGATCAATAACCTGATGGTCACTCTGTCTGAGCTCCAGCTTACTTTTGTGGAGAGAGGAGAACCTTACTGAAGGACAACCATCTGTGCAGCAATCCAGCAATCAGGCCTGTATGGTAGAGGTGCCAGATGAAAGACACTCCCCTCCTGGAATTTCCAAAAGGCATCTGAAGGACTCTCAGACCATAAGAAACTACATTCTCTAGTCTGATGAGACTAAAATTGATCTCTTTGGAGTGAATGCCAGGCGTTACCTTTGGAGAAAACCAGGCAGCGCTCATCACCAGGTTAATACCATCCCTACAGTGAAGCATGGTGGTGGCATCATCATGCTGTGGGGATGTTTTTCAGCAGCAGGAACTGGAAGACTAGTCAGGATAGAGGGAAAGATGAATTCAGCAATGTACAGAGACATCCTGAATGAAAACCTGCTTCAGAGTGCTCCTGACCTCAGACTGGGGCGACTGTTCATCTTCCAGCAGGACAATTACCCAAAGCACACTGCCAAAATATCAATGGAGTGGCTTCACAATAACTCAGTGAATGTCCTTGAGTGGCCTAGCCAGAGCCCAGACCTAAATCCTATTGAACATCTCTGGAGAGATCTGAAAATGGCTGTACACCGTCACTTTCCATCCAACCTGATAGAGCTTGTGAGGTACTGCAAAGAGGAATGAGCAAAAATTCCCAAAGACAGGTGTGCCAAGCTTGTGGCATCATATTCAAAAAGACTTGAGGCTGTAATCGCTGCCAAAGGCTGTGAATACTGATGTACGTGTTATTTTTTTTTTAGATTTTTATTTTCAATTCATTTGCAACAATTTCGAAAACTCTTTGTTCACTTTGTCATTATGGGGGATTGTGTGTAGAATGTTGAGGAAATAAATGAATTTAATCCATTTTGGAATAAGGCTGTAACATGAAACTGAAGCGCTATAAATACTTTGCGGATGCACTTATTTTAAACCTTATTAAAAAGAGACATAATAGGTTCCGTTTAACATCGTGTTAGCAAATACTTTAACTAACATTAACCAATGGAATTAAAATGATTTATTGGTTGCAGAAATGACTAAACTTTTGTGAAATTGCTAAAATCCTCCTACATATACTTGTTGTCTTTGCATATCAAATGAATACAGGAAAAACAACCTTAAATTTCAACATGACTTAATATCTTTAAATAACAACAACACAATGCAGCTGACAGCCTGGAGGCGGTTAGAGACAGGAAGTGCTCAGTGTTGACATAAACTCATTAGCCTTCAGTCTGAAAGGTTTCCTCTAATGTGAACTAATCAGAGCTCTAACTCAAGAGAGCACTAGCACGTCAATACCTTTAATGACATCTGCCTGATCACAGCGAGTGTGTTACGACTCGCAGATCTGTGTGTGTGTGTGTGTGTGTGTGTGTTTCAGTTCTCAATAAGCTTCAGACTCCATTACTTGTGAATGTAATTAACCCTGCAGGCCCTCATAGAAAGACACGCTCATCGATTGAAATCAATGTTTTACCTACAAAGGCATCGACTGCTTCAAGTGCTCGTTTCAATGGGAAAGCGGATAAGAGATAGAAAAACCCTGGTGGAGGTGAAGCGTTATTAGGCCTGTTAAGCTAATTAAATCAAAACTGGCCTTGATTAAACT